TTTTAATTTTTTTAGAGTGATGATTAAGCATGTTACGATATTTGGATGTTGTTGTTGTTTAATGCGAATTGATTGTTTGATAAAAACTGATAAAAATAATATATTTTTGTTTCTGTGGTCTGTACCTCGCGCAGCTGATACTTACAGGTTTGCATCAGCGGTAGGCACGGCATGCATTGGCACAATAGACTCACTTGGTTCAATCGGTTATACGATCTGTTTGAAAGCAAACCAACAACACCAATACATATCAACCCTAAGAGAGCAATCAGCGGTGAATAAGAATGTTTGCAGCGAATATATATCTGTATTTGTTTTTGCAATGCGATTCGTCTTTGCACACTTCCTTATTTAATTACAATTGTGATGAGTATTCATACAAACAATTATTATCAGTACGCGTCGACAAGCAAAGCTGTAATAGGCAACATCCGTAGCAATGTTCATCGATACGCATAGAGAAATTTACAAATAACTTTTGTTAGAATTTATTTAGAGTAGAATATAAATAAACAGGGTACCAGCTCCCAACGGAGCGGGCCACTGCGACCATAGTTGATCTTTTGTGCAGCAACACACCCTAACCGAACAAGGGACATTCTACCTTTCGAATGAAAGCCAAGCGTCAGCTATTGTGGACCTCTTAATTTCAGAAAGGGAGAGTAGTTCTCCTCACAGACAATGTCATAGAGAATGTGATTGAAAGTTTCGTCTGCTTCTAAGCACAGTCAACAATGACTTCTTAATAGGGCTACAACTCTATTAATTACGTGTATAATGCGTTGCACTAAGGGACCAAGATTTATAAGTGGCATATTGTTACCAATTATTGCTAACAAAATCTAACATGGACTAGAAAATCTGAAGAATAACAATAAAATGCATAAATGAAAAGAAACTAAAAACGATTTAGAATGCATTTTCTTATTGCAAAACTGTTCTTATTTCTTAAAATTCACTATAGCATTGGTATATTGAAGAGGACACCATTACGATAAAAGTGTACAAAATAAGAGCATCATGTCGATTGGCTTACTATTCTAAAGCATAAATCCAATATATAAATGTACCGTAAATACCGTATAATACAGTACCGTAAATGTGTACCGTTTTTAGTTTCCCATATGATCTAGTTGTTTGCTTGAGCCATCCTTATTGAGAATTTTGCTGATGTGATGCAGATGTTTCAAGATTATGAGTAACATGATGTAAAAGTTCTTATTCTTAAATTCTTTCGAAAACTCATTCGCTACATTGGTACCGATTGATATATCTAGACCGTGATGGAAGTGACAACTTTTTATATAATATAAATCAAAACATTTTATTTTCGTAGGATGGAGGTCAAAATTACTATTGTAATATGGGGTTTTAACTATTAGTCGTAAGACTTTGTTTTGGAACTATACTGTACTATATACACCCATAGTTGTATGTTATATGTCCAGGATCAAGGAAATATTTATACAAGAGGACTTTATTTTGTATTGTCATGGTCGATGAGAAAATACATTTCATTCAAGTTCCCCACATTTATTCTTCACATGCGCTCATCAATGCAGATTTGCGTCAATCAGTATACCAATTACCTTGGTCTTTGCTTGTCTATTCTTTGGACCATTGATGTATATAACAGCTTATAAGTTACATTTCTTGATGTGTAGTTAAAATGCACTGCAATTGATGGATGAGGGTGTTTCTTATTATTAAAAGCCAGAAAGCACTGCGACCTGAATACATCTATTTTGTATATGATGGTGATCAAATAATTAGTCGTGTCACCATATTTTTGAAATATATATTCATACATATCTATCAGTAATATAAATGTTCATATTTCCATTATTATTGTTCTTAACTGCATTCTTGTCAGAAAGCACTGCGACCTGAATATATCTATTGTACATATACTGATGATCAAATAATTAATATTCTGACCATATTTTTGAAATTTATCAAATATATCAAAAATATCTCCATTATTATTGTTCTCAACTGCATTCTTGTCAGATTTTTTACAATTTATTTCTGTGAAATAATGACTTACATAAATATTTAAATATTTATTAACAAACATGTAAAAAAAATGGTTTAAACATTTTTTCATTAGATAATTAATTTTCATAAGTGCAGATAAAAGTTAAAAATGTTGAAAAACAAGTTTCGGTCTTGGCTTTGGTGGCTTCGTAATGCTGAAGCTTGGTTTAAAAGTACTTACGCAACCTCCATCGTAACTGATAATCTTATTATTTATGTAGATTTAAAATATTAAATCTTTACATAACGTTATATACGATACATACGATATAGTGTTCAGACAAAGATTTTGATTTTCTTAAAGAAAGGAAAATACTTTTGATTATTTAAATTGGTGGAACTTCTCTTTCTGAGTCATCATTTTCTGTTCAGTCTTTATTGAGTGGCAGAGGTCTTTCTTTTGAAATTTTCGCAAAGTACACACTTTTAGTATTTCATGTGCATTGCATATGAATACGGCTTTCGCGTATTTAAATCAAATTTATTTAATTTAAGTAATATTTTTAATATTTTTTTTTAAATATTATTTTACGTACTATTTAATTCCTATTAGTTTACATCACCTCGAAAAGCTGAGCATTGAACAAACCATATTTTGCGATTGTTCCATTCCTGGTTGTGAATAAATATTTACTCAAATAAATTATGAAAATTATCTCTAATGTAAATACTTCTTTTGAGTTGTTAATACTGATTTTAATGTTCTTTTTTATTTTTTTACTATTCGTGTCATTCATAAATTTACTATATTACACATATTTTGCGCCAGATACGCACGGAACTCATTGTTTTAATTGGAATCGAATGAGTAATTGTTCGTTTATTTTTATTTAATTTTACTCACGTTTATTGCGAACAAGTTGTGATATCGTTTGAGGTGGTACATGGATAAATATACTTGTATATAAAATAAAAATCGAAAAATATCTCGTTCCACACTATCTAACATTCCCTCAACCATGTATGAGATAGTGTTAGTCGCTCGTAGATACTTGTTCAAATGTGAAAAAAATAACATATGAAAATGGCATATCGAATCAAAACAAATGTAGAAATTTAAAACTCTCTTCAAAACATTCGTTTCACCGAAAAACTATTAATTAATTCTAGTAAAGTTTATTTATAAAAATATGTGAATAAATAATTATGATAAAGCTGTTTTTTTGGTACCTGTTAGCATATATTTTACTTACAAATACAGTAAAAACTCTGTTAAACCGATAGTTTCACAAATAGACATCTATTTTAATACTTGCTAATGTGGCTAGTGCCCAGTTATCATTTTCTCTTTATGATCTTTTAAGCAGACAGTTGATAATTTTTTTATTTGATTTTTGCGGTGAGGAGGGGGAATGCTTTATGCACCGTCAAATCGACCGTCATCGGAATGGTGTGTTCGACTCCCTAATATTTATATGTAGTTTACGAACTAAAACTCCCCCTCTTCGGGGAGACTTATTCCCCCTCGGAACTGCTTTTGCATTACTTCGAGGGGACAGTTGGTAGTAGTAAGTACATAATTCAATATATTTCAATATATACATCCGTTAATGTAGATTATGCTTATAAAATCTGATACCATCATACTCATCCGTATTAATTTTTTAAATCACATCCTTATCCATATATTTATCCTTTAAAATCTAGTGATTTCGCATCTTACTACGTTTCCTCATTACAACTTTTTGAAATCCTTGTCTGCAGAACTGATATCTGTTACATCCAAAGGGTCCTGTATAGAGGAATAATAAAGGAAATAAGATAGCAAACAATTATACTTTCTAAAACAAATTAAATGAGAAATATAAACAAATTATATACGGACTATAAACTAATTAATATTTTATTTTAAAAATTTGAATATTTTCTAAGATCATTGATGATGAGTACTTGGAGTATTGAAACAACAATACTCGAGTATTGAAACAGCGTTGTATGGTCACTTAAATTTTAAAAAATTAACATTAAAATTATAATTAGATTAGAATTGATTACATAAATTACATACATTTTTAGGTAAATGCGGATCATGCTTATAAAATTTGATATCCTCATACACATCCGTATTCTTCCTTTAATTGACATCTTCATTGACGTCTCTGTCCTTTAAAATTTAAAAAGAAATATTCGCATATTTCCTCATTGTCAATAACTTCTTCAAATTGTTATGTTCAAAACCGATATCCACTACATCCTAAAGGTCCGGAATATAGGAATATTATTAGGAAAGAGATGAGAACTAAAAACCATAGAACTTTTTGGGTTTCAGTAATTGAAGAAAAAAATTATTTTCATTTCTGAATAGAGAAGCTCAAATAGCATTGAATTGAATCAACAGAAACTTTACATTTAATTATTTTTGGGCTGAACTATTTCGAGTATTGTCTCAAACAGCTTGTTTTGTCATCAGTGCAGCATAGGGCCTCTCATAGGGCTCGTGTAATGCCAAAAAGCCATTCTTTTTAATGGTCATTAGAAATAATTTTTAAAAGTATAATATTACCTATTGGTAAAATTACCTATTTTACCTTTAAAAATTACCTATAGTAATATAGGTAATATTACCTAATATTATTACTTATTATCATTACTATTTATTGAGTGCCCGGTTCGGAACCTGCCAAAATTCGACAAATACATATTTAAATATATCTTATTCATTATGAATGAAATAATTATATTAAATTATATAATTATAATTAAATGAAATAATTAATAATGAAATAGATTTGAACTCTAGTTGTCAGCTGATAGAGAAGTTGCCAGAGAAGTAAAAATAATATATATTTATATATTTTATGCAAATAATCTTTTATTTATAAAAAATCTCGTTTAAAGCAGAATTGACAATACAATTTATATAATTTCAAAATACATATAATTTTACATTATATAAATTTTATTTTACATATAGTCTATGGTAATCATATTTTCAAATATTTGTCATTTAACAAATTTCCTTTTCAATAGTGCAATGCCCTACGCACTTTACGGATGCAGCTAGAGTCCTGAATTCGCTTTCCTTGTACCAAATAATTAGACAGTGGTGACGAAGCATTAGCGCGTTTTTGATGCAAACTGGGTGATGTAACTCCATTGGCTCCTAATCTCGTTGCAGAGAACCTTGCAGTTATAGTAAGTGATTGATTGTATTTCTCCGATGGTGTCTGCAACTTTTCCACATTATCACTAACAGCTTCAGTTTTTGGTTCCTGTTTTGAAGACACGTTATCGATAATAGGAATATCGATGGTCTCAGTTTCTTGCTGTTTTTCCGAAACATTTTTTGTGGTTGTTAAATCGATTGGTTTTTCAGTATTTGTAGATAAAAATTTATTCACTGTTGTTTTGACTTTTGCTTTGTTTACTGGGTGTCTGGGGGTATTGCGTCTATATAAACTCGTTCTTGAAATTGTTGGTGTGCAGAGACTTTGAGCAGATTTTGATTTATATATTACGGAGTCGGCAAAATGCACTCTACGAGTAGTTTTCGGTTTAGTTCCAGCAGTAAATTTAGATGTGGCCGATGTTTTTTTATATGGAGTCTTCAAAATTGATTTCAAAACTTTAGTTTTTGAATCTTTCATCGGCAAATTCCTGTTAAAAGTAGATGTTACACCCGCTTTTGAATCAGTTTTTGCTCTTGTCATATTAATTGGCGTTTCAGTAGTCTCACATGAAGATTTCAAAAATATTTGTTGCATTTTTGCTTTGGGTTTATCGAGTGCATATCTAGGCGTGTCGGGTCTTAATTTAGTAGCTCTAGAAATTGGTGGTGTATTGAAATGTAGAGCAGCTTCTGAGTTGTATGTTGAGGGGTCCGCAGCATTATGCTCTCTTGACGAAGTTCTGGGATCAGCTTTAGTATTATATATTTTGATAATTGGTCTTGTAAGTGGCAATATTTTTTTTAAAGTTGGTATTTTGGTTTTGTTCCTTAAAGTTGATGTTGGTATTTTCGAAATAATTGAGATTTCATTTTTATCAGCTGATCTAGTTTGGCATCTTGAGCTGGTTGTTGGAGTTTCGTTAGGAGTATCAATTTCTTCAGTTAAATCTGTTTCTGTTGTTGTATTTTCCTTTGGAGTATCTTGTATTGTAATGTTGTTATCTAAAGTTTCCTGTTCAGTTTCCTCCAGTTCAGTTATTATATTACTTAAGATATTTAGTAAGAATTCGATAAACTTGATAAATAAACCGAATATACCGAGACGATATCTCGAAATTGTTCGTTGATTTCCAATTCGACTCATTTTAATGAAGAAATTAATGATTTACTTGAAAAATGTAAGAATACGAATACGTAATGTTCACTTGAATGATTTGTAGCGAATGATGTTGAAAAGTAAAATATGCTTTGCTTTTATACTTTAACTTTCGAAGGACTTAATAGGACAGGTAACAACAGGTATAATTAAGAGATCAATTAGTAAACAACAAAACAATTAGTTGTAAATAAAAAAAATGTCCTTTTTCAGGTAAAGAATATATTTTTATGAAAGTATATTAAGGTTCTACAAGTCTTAGCATGGATGTTTATTATTTTCATTATTATTTATAGCATGGATGTTATTGTATTAATAGCTTAAAAATATTTGTCAAATCTTGACTAATGAACCATGAAAACAACACATCATAATCACATCACATACCAAACACAAACAACTTTAGAACTTTAGTTCTTTAAATATAATTTATTGAACCTTAGTTCCGGAAATTATATACATATATATATATAGGTTTGAGTTTATGTGAAGAGTGTAATTGTTCAAAAATATGTTTTTATTTGAATGTTTAGCTGATGAAACTCATTCCAAGGTTTTTGGGTTTGGCTTTTGGTAATATTAATTAGTTTTAATCATTTGTAACTTTTAGAGTACAAATACTATCGGTTATACTATAGCCTTATAGAACAATATTTGGATTACTTTAATTGTTACAATGGATTTGTGATTACTAGTGTCACATAGAATCTATTTAAATGCAAAAGGGACTAATAGTGTGAAAATATAAGAACCCAATGACTGTTCTATAGCCCAAGAGTTACAATAAAAGGTCAGATTATCTGCTATTTGACCGAGGTCGGTTAGCTTTACAAAAGATCAGATATGGTTATAAGACTCGAAGACTCGGCATTGGCTTCTTTAACGATCTTTTGTTAACTACGAGTATCAAATACAACAGAAAGTTTTGCTATTCATCAATGAAAACATTCGCTATAGCTCACCAGGCGAACTTGGCTTCGCTCCGCAAATATATTAATTTATTAAATAATTTCTTTGATTACAAACTTATTTTCATAATTGCCTGAGATTTGTGTTGAAATAGTAAAAAACTATTATTTAAGAGATATTATCGAAATCCTACTTCTCATTAAGTATAATTCAGTTACTGAATAAAATTACACTATTTATAAACAACAAACTCGTGTTGGCAATTAGTCTTAATATATTAATGAAGATTTGTTAGATTTTATCTGAAAATGATGCTTCCAAGGACTTATATATATTATTATTATTACCTGTACCGAGTTAGTGTATCTGGGCACTTTTACTCTGATAGCTGGGGGTCTCTGCAGAATCTTATCCATCTCACTGACTGATTTGTGTATTTTCTTATATATTTATATATATATATAAATATAAATATATATATTTGGATAATCTATATATGGAATGGATAATCTTCTATGAGAGGTGTCAGCTATTGTAGGTTGTCATATAAAGTAATTTCGAAACAATGTACAATTTTCTGGATTCAGTTTAAAGAATCGCAACTTTTATTTTCATATATATATACTAATGGATTGTTAATAAGTAGTCCAGTACTTTAGTTCTTTGAATAAAAGATATTGATATTTCATAACTCTATTAGTTAGTTTGACTGATGCTAAATATGTTTTTAGATTCACTGTACTAGTGTGTATGTCATTCTGTCTTTCTAGGTGGAGCATAAATCCTCTGTTATTCTATATTCTGCAATTCGCATTTCCATGTTCTCCTACAAATCTCGACCGGTTCATGGGTTCGCTTAAAACCTTGCGGATGGCACTTCAATGCTTGTTGAAAAATATTTAAATTTTGTCTTCTTAGAATGGCCGCTATACAGTTCTATTTTCCGTATTTTCCTTTCCTTTTTCTCTGTTCTAGTTTGATCTGTTCGATCTCACAGATTCATATTTATACGTTTCGCACTGGATTGCGTTGACATTCTTCCACGTTTTATTTAAATATATTAAAACTGATTTATTGAAAATGAAAAAATTTTCACTATTGGACACAATTTTAATTTAATAAAGCAACCAAATAATATTATAAATCTATGATTATAATATTGATTAATAATAATATTTGAGTGTTTTTGTAACTTTCTCTTTATAACTCGGGACACAATGTTGTGTATACTATATATCATATATATATATATGATATGATGTATTATATTATGGGTATATTTCATTAATTACTATAATCACTAAAGTGTCCTTTTATGTATTGTACATATATAATCCTGATGTAAATCAAACTTGTAGTACTCAATTTTTTTTTTAGAATTTACCAGTAAGTTTTATTATATCAAACTCAAATCACCCTGTAAATAAAATATATAATCATAAAATTATTTGTTAGTTTTAGTTGATTTATTGTTTTTTATTTGGGAAAATCGCAAGCGGTTAATTTAAGTTTTTTTTTTTATTGCATTAAAGAAAAGATAAGTGTGAATATGTCTACAATTTCTTTTACTAATAATAATTTATGACAGAGAAATATATTAGCAATACATTAATTTCGTTAATTAAAGTCTTATACGATAAAAAATGTAAAGTTTATTTATTTTAAAGTGAAATGTATGAGAGTTTTTTGGCAGGCACTATTGTCGACTTCAGTATTTATATAGCCCCTTTATTCTATAATGGAAATTATCTATGAAATGTAATGATATTAAAATATCGAATCCACTACAGAGACTTGTTCCTTACAAAAATATTAAATATCTAATCTTAAAATCCAGAATTATAATAATTGTCTTCAGATCAAAAATAAGCAGTACGTATACCCTCAAATAGATATAATACAGCAGCTAAAAAGTCGAGAGTTTAATTTATAAGTACACAATTTTTGCTAAATTCGACTTTATTCTTCAACATAGTTTCTAATACAATCTTCACACTATTTCTCTAACAATTCAATACTCCTCTTAGAGAGCATATAATATATATATATCCTCTTAGATATATTTTTTGACTTACAACAGGCATTTGCCTCGGCGATTAGTTCGTCATTGGACAAATATAAATTTTTCTGTACGATATCTTTATTTTTTATCTATACGATGATTTGTTTTTTCCTTTTGAATGTACCATAGATTGTTACTTTCTGCTATACTTCTTAATTGCATATTTCATTTTATAGTTTTCTTTATCGAAATAGAAATGCTTAACTTGTTCCTTACAAAAATATTAAATATCTAATCTTAAAATCCAGAATTATAATCACTGTCTATAGATCAAAAATAAGCAGTATGTTTAGCCTCAAATAGATATAATACAGCAGCTAAAAAGTCGAGAGTTTAATTTATAAGTACACAATTTTTGCTAAATTCGACTTTATTCTTCAACATAGTTTCTAATACAATCTTCACACTATTTCTCTAACAATTCAATACTCCTCTTAGAGAGCATATAATATATATATATCCTCTTAGATATATTTTTTGACTTACAACAGGCATTTGCCTCGGCGATTAGTTCGTCATTGGACAAATATAAATTTTTCTGTACGATATCTTTATTTTTTATCTATACGATGATTTGTTTTTTCCTTTTGAATGTACCATAGATTGTTACTTTCTGCTATACTTCTTAATTGCATATTTCATTTTATAGTTTTCTTTATCGAAATAGAAATGCTTAACTTTTATATTCCATTTCTTGCGATTATCTTATGAAGTACTTCATAATTTTTTTCTGCCATCATAAGCGTCTGAAAAAGATGACTACAATATCTTAAGTATTTCAAGAGCTTTAAGTCATTAACATTAAGTCTTATCTTCTTCTTGTTCTATTTTTGAAACGTAATATCTTTTAAAATTATTTGCTAAGTGAATCATCATTTTGACATATTTTCGTCTCAGACTTTCAAGTGGACTTTCGTGGAATAATAAAAATACGCAATCGAAACGTTTTGATTCCAAAAAAAAAAAAATAAATAAATGTCTTTTTAACGGCGTTTTGTCATATTATTTTTTATTAGTAAATTTTAGATACTTTAATGTTGAGAACTTTATTTGGCTCTGTGTCATTTGTCGTTACGTTTTCCATTACAACACGCCTCAAATCATCACAACATCACAATTTTTACAGAAAACAGATACTCAGGCGTGTTGTGAATAATTTTGGTAGTTATTTTTATAATTTAATTTTATTGTTTTTGATTTTTCATTCAAGAAAACAGATTCATTCAATTTAAGATACTTTAAAAACACTCTTACATTCATTATGTGACATGCATTTAGATAAAGATACTTATACAAAAGCTTTTTAATGTGTAATTAAGTGGGAACAAAAAGTTCCTACTTAACTCAACTTCTACTTAACTATTATTCAATATCTGCTTAGTAATATTTTTATCCTTCAAATCTCAAAAATAATGACTATTTAAAACTCATATAATTTTCTAACAATATTGTTGTCACATGAGAAGAACCTACGTTCCTAAAGAATCCTGCTCGATGTGACTTTTTTGGAACAACTTTTTTTGGAGATAATCCTATATGTAATGTCTGAATTTGGTATCCCAGCAAAACTTATACGGCTATGTAAAATGACGTTGAGCAACACCACCAGCTCCGTTAGAATTGGAAAGAACCTCTCTGAGCCGTTTGATACCAAACGAGGTTTCAGACAGGGTGACTCCGTGTCGTGTGACTACTTTAACCTAATGTTGGAAACGATAATTCGAGCAGTAGATTTAAACCGTACTGGCACAATATTCTACAAAAGTGTAATGCTGCTTGCGTATGCCGACGATATTGATATCATTGGTCTGAACACACGCGTCGTCAGTGCGGCATTTTCCAACTTAGAAAAACAAGCAAAGCAAATGGGTCTTGTGGTAAATGAGGACAAAACAAAGTACTTTCTGTCAACAAACAAATCTCCTGAGCGTCTTGGGACCTACGTCACTGTTGACAATTATAAGTTCGAAGTTGTGAAAGACTTTGTTTATTTAGGAACCAGCTTAAACACCAAAAA